CTTCTGTGGGCACCTACACTCACATGCATATACCCAGACACGGGTACACACATACACAATTTTAAAGTAATAAAAATAAACAGGATGAAAATATCACATAGAACTAAATACACTTGCAATGAGTGGACTGGAGCAATGTTCATTTCTTGTTTGGAAGGAATTTAACAGGGAGTCACAACTGAGGAAAACTGGGAGATAAATTCGTAGTTAATAAAAACACAAAGACATACAAATAAAATATTCTCATGCATGCACACATACATACATACCTGAAAAATTAGAGAACAGTCTTGTATAGGAAGAAAACCTGTTTTTAAGCAGCCACTGCTGTGTTTCCTGGGTTGTAGCTGAAGGCTGAATTTGCTATTAATGAAGAAAAAAAAAGTAAGCATATGTAAAACCATTCAAGATTAAAAACAAAACAAAAACCCAAGTCACTGGTATATCATGAAGAATGTTTAACAGAAAACCTCAAAAGGCCTTATAATCTGAAGTCAGAACACAGCTGATGATTGACCACCCACACAGCTTGGTTAGAATGTTTAAGATGAAGGCCCTTAACAGTATTTGACATTTTCAGGAAAAGATACTTACTTCCCCAGATGCCTGTGCAACTCCATCTCCCTGGTGATTTGGGGATGAAGAATTGCTGGAGAAAGGAAAAGGAACAGTTTTAACTTTTTTTTTTTTTAAAGTCAAGCAATGAAAGGTTATTGCATAAGTAATTTGAAATAGGACAACACTGTGCAAAGAGCTGTGAAAGTCTGCAATAAGAATACAACACAGTAGGGTACAGAGATGGGACAAAGACAATGACAGCACCACCATGTGTGAGGTAGACACGCAGTGAAAAGTGTCCTCTTGAGTCTATACAGGTGCCAGGAAAATGGGGAAGATATGCATTTATTTAATTAGGAAAATAAGTAAAATTAAAAAGATAAATAGCTAAACATAACTATAAAACACTCTAATAAAACTGGCTATAAGAAAGTGACTCTAACTAAACATACAAATCTCCCTCTTTAATATATCTATTTGGATGGAGTTACAGAAACTTTTCAATATTCACCCATGAGAAATGAGGAAATGAAACAAACACGTGCCACCATCCTTGTGAGTCTAAGGTATAAAGAGTCTAAGGTTTAAGGCATAAAGAAAACTGCAAATAATTTCAGAGAACAGGCACCTCCCATTCCTGAGCAGGGTTCCTCTCTCAGGACCAGCTTTTCACCACCTCTCGACCTTACATTATTCTCCATTCACCAGAACCTAAGCCCCTTCCAACAGGAATTTGTCTGGCCATATAAATATCTTAGCACCAAGGACCATGCTGGGAATACAAGGGGCTCTCAGGAAACATACAGACATCTAAAATATACAATTCAAAGCTCATCTCTAAGATCACAGCCATTTGCTAACACACCCAGACAGGTAACATAAGAGATTTCTTGCTACACATTGGCTTTCTGCTATCCCAGTCTATGATATTTTTTCTACTTGGATTTTTTGTTTTTGTTTGGTTTGACAGACAAGGTTTCTTGGTATAGCCCTGGCTGTCCTGAAACTCACTCTGTAGAGCAGGCTGGCCTTGAACTCAGAGATCTGCCTGCTTCTGCCTCCTGAGTGCATACATTTTTCTACTTGTAAACAAAACCACTACATGAAAACAGGCTCCTGACTAGTTATTCCATCTCCAAAGAGAAAAAACAGATTTTGTAGTATTTCTTACCAGACCCTGTCAACAAGACTAGACTATATAAAGAGAACTTTCCCCTGCCATCTAAAGCTTTTATAATTTTTCTGCACCAAAAGAAACTTCCTAAAAGCAGGAACTTCTGAACTACTGTCCTCCGGCAAGGCAGCAGAAGCTGAAGGCTGATAGCGGCCTCAGGCCTATGCAGCTCCCACTCTGAACTCCCTGTGAAAGCCTTAATAGAAAGCACATTCAACAAAATCCAGAGGTCTTGATCTGAAAGCCACCTTAGTCTTAAGAAAACCAAAGATCCTTTCTTTAATCTTAAATACCCAACTAAAACTACACTGAGAAACTATAGTGCAAAACAAATAACAAACAACAAAACCTATGTCATGTAGTAAACTTTGTGCTTTGTCGTCAATGCAATCTTAACATATCCATATCAGCGCTTCACGTCAGTTGCTCATCCTATGTCCATAACTGTGTACCCTGTTAGTGCTTTCTTCAATCTCTCAACGACAGAGACAGCCTCTGCCTTAAGAACTCGTCTTCCCCTTTGTTCAGATAGGGTCTTGTTATATAGCCCCAATCTGGCCTCAAACTCACAATCTTCCTGTTTCAGTCCCTGGAGAAAATTCCACCCCCTCCCCTTTCTGCAGTTACCGTGTTGTCAGAGTGCATGTGACTCGATGCACAAAGATGCACGCAGGTGAAGACTCATATGACCTAAGTACAGGCTGTTTCCTATCACCCGACACAGACACACATAAATGACCGCATGGATGGGGACTCGTAGGAGCAACGGTTAGGTGCAAGCACACGGCCATACAAACCAGATACCTGTCTGGGATACTGCACGTGCTCTGCTGTGAGGAGGTGAAAGTGGGCGCTGGGGAAGGGCTGTTATTCACATAGGCTGTGGGGGTGTCAGGCCACGGAGAACACTAAGGATAGAAACAGAAATGAGTTAACAACATGCTTCTTAAATGTGTGGAAGAAGCACTTGTGTAATCTGGTCTCTAACTGACCCAATGCAAACTTATAAACCACAAGATACCTGGTGCCTATTAGACATGTATCAAATTTACCCTGTGCAGCAAAAGACATTTTAGCTTTTAAAGATAACCTGAGTGATGATAGCAGCAAAATTTATCAAGACACTTTAAATATATTTGCTTTCTAAAAGCACCCCCCACACACACACACACTTCTTCCTGCATCTTCTGTCAGGTGCTCCGACAGACACATCTCAAGGTTTAAAAACAGCAGACAAGGGATTCACAAGCAACATCTGACATCACACAGTGATCTAGGTGTGACTAGGTCCTGTTTATTGCTCATATGCCTGTCCAGGAAGCAGCCTCATCAGTACCTGCTTATTACCTTGATATAAATAAGATTTATTGAACAGGCTAGCACGCAAGCACACCAACTGTGCATGTATGCTGTCAGAGTGTGTGTGTTTTCTGAAAGGGATATGGTGGACTGAATATCTCTCAATCTTAGGAAAAATTTTGACAAGGGACAGAGCAAGATACAGAAACACACTATTACAGTTAGCAAAACTAAATAAGCCAAGGTCCAGAGCATGCTGAGCAGGCTACAATAGTCAAGTAGAAACCTTCCCTTCTGAGCTTCACAAATAGCTACCTAACACTGGGTATTTCTTTCTACAACTATTCTGTTGAGGATGTCAGTTTCAAAGGTTCCCCTTTATAATCAGCCGGATCCCATTTGAGAAAAAGGCATGACATCTGACCTCAGCACTGAGGTTTAAGACTCTCCAGAGCCAAGTAAATGACAGGAGAATAGCCACTCCTGAAATACGTGATTCTCATGACTAAGAGTTTTTCTCCAAGTGATGTGGCTTTCAGTTCTTGCTTTAACTACTATGGTCCTCTGGCAGATACTAAATCATCTACAAAGATCACTGTCTAGCTGTAGAGAATTCAAAAGGAATGTCAAATCTTGAATGATACCGACAAATGTTATCTAACAAAATTTCTCATACCTATTTTAAAAAAATCTAAGCTGGGCACGGTGGCACACACTTATAATCTTAGCACCTGCGGGGAAGTTTCAGGCCAGCCTAGTCTCAAAAAAATAAGGAAAAAAAAATCCAAAAAACCATGTTTATTTTTTTCTCTCTTATTTGTTTATGTATACAGTATTCTGCAGCCTAGAAAAGAGCACTAGATCTCATTACAGATGGTTGTGAGCCACCATGTGGTTGCTGGGAATTGCACTCAGGACCTCTGCAAGAGCAACCAGTGCTCTTAGCCACTGAGCCATTTCTCCAGCCCCCTGTATCTGTTCTCTTTATTCAAGATGCATTTACAAAGAATTTTTTTCCCTTGGTTTTTTTGAGACAGGGTTTCTCTGTGTACCTTTAAGAGTCTGTCCTGGAACTCTCTCTGTAGACCAGGCTGGCCTCAACTCACAGAAATCCACCTGCCTCTGCTTCCTGAGTGCTGGATTAAGGGTATGTGCTACCACTACCACCCAGCTGAAATTCTATATTTATTAACTGTACTTCAAAATTTGTATAATTGCCTTCCAGGTGGTAGTAAAGCACGCCTTTAATCCCAACACTCGGGAGGCAGAGGCAGGCGGATCTAAGTTTGAGGCCTAAGAGAGTTCCAGAATAGCTAGGGCTATACAGAGAAACCTGTAGTGAAAAATCCGAAACAATCAATAAAAAAATGTATAACTTTTAATAAAGTGGCCCCAATGATTTTTTAATTACATTACCTATGTATGTATGTATGTATATATGTATGTATGTGTGTGTCTATGTGCGTACACATCTGCCATGCCATGTACGTAGAGGTCAGAGGACATTTGGGAAAGTCTGTTTTCTCTTTCTATCACTTGAGTCTTGGAGATCAAACTTACTTAGCTGGGCCTGGCACTATACACCAATTTTTAATTTCCTACCTAAGCTTAATCTATAGTCATAAGAAATTTTAAAGATTAAATTCAAGTCAGGCATGGTAGCACATGTCTACAACCAGGCTCAGGAAGTGGTGGCAAGGAGATTAAGTTTAAGGCCAATATCAGCTACATGAGACCCTAACTCAAAAACAAAATTAAAAACAACAAAACCTTTTCTTTCCCATTTATGAAAATCTACCGTAGTCAGGAGTGGCTCATGCTTTCACTCCAGAATTTAGGAGGCTGAATGAGGAAGATGGCCGTGAGTTTAAGACTAGTAAGACTCAGAAAGCCAGAAACTATATTGTAAAGAGCTGGGGTTACTGAGTTGGAGAGATGGCTCAGCAGTTAAAAGAACTTGTTTTTCCAGGGCTCAAGATTTGGTTCTCAGCACCCACGGCGCAGTTTACAACCACCTGTAACTCCACTTCCAGAGGATCGGACACCCTCTTCTGACTTCCTGGGCACTGTACACATGTAATTCACAGACATTCATGCAGGCAAAATGCTCATACACATAAAATAAAAATAAATAAATCTTAGCCAGGTGGTGGTGGCGCACGCCTTTAATCCCAGCACTCGGGAGGCAGAGGCAGGCAGACATATGTGAGTTCAAGGCCAGTTTGATGTATGAGAGCTAGTTCTAGAACAAGCACCAAAGCTACACAGAGAAACCCTGTCTCAAAAAAACTAAATAATAAATAAAAAATAAATCTTAAAAAAATTGAAGTTATCATGACAAGACTTCCAGGCATAAGGGTATAATCACATTTTAGAGAACATTTAAAAGGAACAGAATACAAAGGTGAGAACAATAGATGATAGGAGTAAAATTCAGTACTAAACAAAAGAAATTTGAAATGTCCATGATACCTCGATTTTGTGGGCTACTTCCTCCAGATTAAAAATAGTTTTAAGTTTCAATTTTTTTTTTTTTTTTTTTTTTTTTTTTTGGTTTGGCTTTGGCTTTTCAAGACAGGGCTTTTCTGTGTAACCCTATCCTCAAACTAGCAGAGATAAATAAGTTTTAGTAGTTTCAGTTTAAGAATTATAAATTCAGATATTCAGCATGCCATGAAATGCTTCCCTTGCATCTGTTCAAATTATAATGAAACTTTTGGATGCCAGTTTGAAAATAATCAACAGAAAAAAATCATCTTGTTCAAAGTTTTCTTAGCCAAGTGTTAAGAGCACTAACATGAAGCCCAGAGCCTAAACTGAGGCCTCTCCAGGCAGAGCCCGCCCATGTCTTAACAGCTACCCAGCATGGACATAGATAGGGAAAGAAAATAAATCCCCAGTATCCCTCACATCTGACCAACTATGGACCACTCAAAAGAAAGTAAAGTCACTGCAGAGACTGTTCCAAGACCACCACCTTTCAAAGCAGAAAATGGCGTGACTGGTCAACTCTAGCAATGGCCTTACTACAGATTACATTTATTCCACATGAAAATACCTGTTGTTTTAAGATAGAGCCCCTTTGGTCTTACTGAGTATCACTTTCTCCTCAGTTCACACAGTGTGAAGTGCCCCTGCCTGTAACAGCACATCTAACCATGGGAACATGGACTGCCACTCTACTCCATGCAAGACCACCTTTCTCCTAATAAAAATATTACAACCAAACATACATATCTGCATAACTCTTAATATTCAAAGCAACATCTCCCCAAATATACCTTAGGAATTACTGCCCGCTCTTTGAGAAAATAGAGCTATCTCCAAACAAGTTGGTGTGGCACAGGAGACCGCACGCTTACTCACCGTACACTCATCTAGTTCATATTTACAAATGTAGATGCTTTTACTATCACAAGAGGAGTATTTAATCTGGGGTTCTGTTTGTTTTGTGGAACTAAAGAGCAAACTCAGGATCATAAGTGAGCCGGGCAAGCACTGGAGCACACTAATGGGTACCCACAGCCCATGGTGCTGTTAACAGCAAGTGTAGTACTATTGCTCATGTTCCTGAAGGCCCTGCCAATAGTCTCGACCTGTGCAATTCCGGTTTCAGTGCACTGCATATGTAGTATTTTCCCACTGAGATTAAAGAATGAGGACACACTGTCATCTGCACACTGTGGCAGCCCAGGAGTAAGCCAAACATCAACAAACAACAAAGGGTTTGTTAGACATCATCTCCTGGGAACTGGCAGAAGGGAAAATTCAGTTTGGGACCCTGTCATTCAGCACATTTTAGATTTTATCAAGACTTCTGGATATATATCTTTATAACTGAAAGTCCAAAACTTGCAAGAAAGGTTGCTCCCAGCCCCTTTACAGATATTTAGAGATACACAAGTGCTGCAGCTATGATCTTGGTTAAGGGATTCATGATCTGGATCCTGCATTTTGAAAACAGGTTTCCAGACTGTAGTCTAACCAACTCGAGAAGCATCATACCCAAACCAAATGCAGCCAGGGGGCAGGCAACAAACTTAAGAAGATGTGAAATCCCAGGCGTGAACTGCTGACGTTTTGCATATTTTAGACTTAAGAAGCAGTAAGAATTTACTACTGACTTCCTCATCTTTGGATTGGCTCTAGACTAAAGCAGATTTACCTATCAATCACACCAGAACCAACTTCTTTAAATTAGACAAATTGCTTATAACGCAAGTTATAAAGGCAAGTGACTTAAGCTCCCAAGATCCCCTCAAAAAATGTACTAAGAACATTTGTAGATTTTCAGAAGAATTAGGAGTTAATAAAACATAAAACTCGAGAGCAGACATTTGGGGAAGGGAGCATTTAGAGGGTCTGACTGTCTCCAATTTAAACTAAAATAGCCCAGTTAAAAAAAATGCAGAGAATCAGGCGTGGTGGCTGCAATCCTAGTACTCGGCAGGCTGAGGCAGAAGGACATGCCAACCTGAGCAACATAGTGAGTTCTAGGCCATGCTGAGCTAGTGTCTAAAAAAGAATAAAAAAATAAATGAATGAATAAATAAAAGAAAATGCAGCATGTGCTCCCAGTGCCCTGAGATTCAAGCATGCATAAAGAATCATTTCAATATTGCTTTAAAATGGAAATGATGTCCCTGTGATAGTCCTTGTGACATTGACCTTCAAAGTCCATAATTAATCATAGAGAATTATAAAAGTAAAAATCCATTTTTGGGACCCTAATAATACAAACAGTGCAATAATGAACAGAGTGCTCAAAACAGTTATTTTAAGAAATTCTTTAACATTTCTCCTCATATTTAATAAGGGTATATAAGCTGATTTAAATTTGAAATCAGAACAATCCTCTGTGGACTGCTGGACAGAGTTGTGTCATAAAGACTTGCTATATTTAACCTGACAAAGCTCAATCAAAACCTTCACTATTTGTTCCAGAGGGTTCTGGGGTTAAGTGCAGCAAGGTCACCACTGTGGTCTGAAGCGTTACATCACAATGCAGGTGCCAAGAGGAAACACTAGACAAAGATGGTTTTTACCAGTGCTGCCAAAGAGGCTTTTAAAAGCACAGACAGACACACATTCTGATAGTGCATGCAGGGGACTGTGACACAGAGTACTGCACATGTTAATGTCAAGCTTGCTGCCATCATTTAACTATCTATAAATTTTCTTATTAGGTAAGTATACACGTTAAAAAAAGCAAAACTTTTCTTAACTACATAAAAATGATTTAAAATTAGTCAAGTAATTTCAATTATCCTGAAGGAGTTGTATGTGTGAAGGGGAAGAAGGAAGGGGGAGGGGAAGGGAACAAGAGAACAAGTTGGAAAACATATCTCTGAGTGTCGTTCCCTCCAAAACCACCCAATATGGTCAACATCGTTTATGCTTTGTTTTAAAGTGTTAGATTTAGGAAATTTTCCTCAATGAGGAACAAACAGAAAGCAGAAAGTCTAAACAAAAGCAAATTAAATCAAGACATGGACATAAAAACAATTTTGGCTTTACTTTTCCATGAAGTTGGTCCTATATCTAACACTGCACAAGGGTTCTTGCACAATGAAAAGAGAAGCAGAAGTCCCTTACACTGCCTCGCTTTGCCAGAGAATCACCGTAGTCTGCTGGCAAAGTCCGCTTGCTGGACTTTTTCTGCTCATGTTCAACTGCATCTTCAATTATAGGCTCAAGCCTCATCTGGACAAACACCAAAGATTGGGGTCAATGTCTTTTCATTATACAAAGAAAGACCTAATACCCTGTTTCATGTCTTTGTGCTCAATTAAACAAATGTATGACTAACAGGATTCAAAATTAAAGAAAATGCAAAACCCCAGCAGTGACAAAAATTGGACATTCTAGGCCCCCACTTAAATCTCTTGTCAATTGCAAGGTTTTAAGGTCTGAGACCTCATTGGGATTTCAGCATCTTCATTCAAGATCCCACCCAGGCAAATTAACTCATAAAATCCCCAAACTTAGGTAAGACATGTGCCCACAAAATCCTCAGAATATCAGGTCAATCCACCGCCCAGCCTTCCCAATCCTTATGTTGCAACACTTCTGCAAGGTCCTGCTAACACGCAAACCTCCTTGTTTCCAAAGCCAAATGCTGAGCCGCATTACCTCTGTGAGAATGGTGGTGTCGTAAGATGGCTGGTACTTTTCTTTTTCATGAGCTGTTCTCTTTTCCATCTTTTCTCGGTCAGTTTTTTGTTTCCTATCTGCACCTTTAGGCTTAAAAACAAAGTAGATGACATCATTCATCTGGCTGTACACAACTTTAAAGGAAAACTGAGAATCCCTCCTGGTTTTCATTGCTTACCTTAAAGACTTTAATTTGGCAGCTAGCTGAGTGAAGATGATCTGTGTATTCTCCATTTTCATTCTGTTTAAAGGTGTCAACCTGGATCCTAAAAGGCACTCCCTTTTCACCTCCATGCTTACGTGGGGTGAATTCTGTGCTGATGCAGTGTACCTACAAAAAAAAGCCGAACCACATTCAAAAACTTTCCACTGAGGGTCTATTTTATTCCCTCATGGATGTACATACAAGATCCCTTAAAATACCAAACAGTCAAATTATCGCATGAATTTCCTTAGTTATTCTGAATACAGGCCTCCTTTCAGAACTCCTGCATTTCTGGACTCACTGGACTCCAGCAACCCTTGTTTCAGTGCCTCTCCTCTCACGGTGAGGAAAGCACAGAAGCAGCTGCGCACTGTCACTGCCTTCACCCCAACAACACGCTCTCTCAGACCCAGGGTCCTCCACCCCTGCCACACAGCCAAGCTTGCTACTGCTTCTCCAAACACACCAATTTGTGAGGCTTTGCCGGGCAATTTGCAGTCCCTAAAGCTTCATTATTTATCCAATTTGTATCCATTTAAACTCTCCAGCTCAACCTTTCCAAGTTCTGGAAGAATCCTGAGTCAAAATTCATTTTCACCACCCCCTGCCCCCCACACCACTTCAGAAAACAGCCCAAGGATACAACATGAAGTTAGCAAGCAGCAAGACCATGGTCATTTCTGACTGCCACAAAGGCATGCCTCTTCAAATGATATGCAATGTGAAAAGCTCACCTCTAAATATGATTTGCACAGCCTAAGATAAGGCCAGCTTTATCATTCTTTTTACTACAAAACTGTTTATTCTATTGGACAAACACTAATATCATGTGACAATATTCAACCAATATGAATCACGTCATCATCATGATGGGAATATTTTATAGACAACCCAAACACTGAATGCTAATGATCCTTAGAGCTGATGCAAACACAGCTTACTTAAGCTGGCCAACAATTAAATGGCTATTCCCTTCTATATAATGACTACCTACATAGTAGTTAAAATTCCACCACTTACAAATTTGCACACTATATATTAGTTATTTTTGGGTTTTAAATATGTAATCATAACATATCTTGGATACACAAAAATGTTTATGGGTAAAATAGAGTGGAGTTTGCTTTAAAATATGCCAACAGTGCCTGGTGTGGTGGTGCAAAGCTTTGATCTCAGCACTCAGGAGACAGAGGCAGGTGGATCTCTGTGACATGATGGACACATGAAAAATCCACTATCATTATCTCTTCATTTGTGGAAGCTTTAAAGTTTATGAACTTTACATAATGTTTTAAATAATGTTATAAAAAATATTAAACCTGAAATTTTTTTCAATAGTATCCTTTTAAATGGCAGTTTTTGTTCTCTATTATTGTGAACACCAATAAAAAATAAAATTAAAGACAGGTGGTGGTGGCAAACACCTTTAATCCTAGCACTTGGGAGGCAGAGTTAAAGAACAACCTGGTCTACAGAGTGAGTTCCAGGACAGCCAGAGCTACACAGAGAAACCCTGTCTTGAAAAACAAAACAAAAATTAAAAGCCCAAAGTATGGTGGCACACTGTATATGGCGAGCTCCAGATCATCCAAAGCTACAAAGCGAGATCCTGTCTCCAAAATAAACAAAAAACAAAAAACAACATAATAATAATATTGCCAAGCCTGGTGGTACACCTTTAATCTCAGAACTTGGCAGATCTCTGTGAATCTCACTATGTAGCCAGCCTGGGCTACATAGTGAGTTCCAGGACAGCTATGGCAATGTAGAGACCCTGTCTCAAAAAGCAAAACAAAACAAAACAAAAAAATTTATTACGATTACCCAATGTCTTTTATGTCTATGACTAATCTAATAAACCCATTTTCACTGTATGTAATTTTTTTAATAATGTATTTTTATTTTCTGTGCATTGGTGATTTGCCTACAGGTATGTCTGTGTGAGGGTGTCAGATCTCAGAGTTTCAGGCAGCTGCTACCTGCCATGTGGGTGCTGGGAATTGAATTCGGGTCCTCTGGAAGTGGAAGTCCTACTGCTCGCTGAGCCATCTCTCCAGTCCCTTAACTGTGTGTATTTTTTGTTTTAAAAAGCATTACATTATAATTTACAAATGAGAAGTACTTTCATGAGACAGGAATTCAACCTTCTAAATGACTTGGGCAGTATGCTTCTAACAACATAAAATGGCAAACCTGAATGAAGGCAGATGTGCGCTTTGCAGGGTCCCACAGAAATTCAACTGCATTTAACTGGCTTGGATTTGTCCTTGTGTCAATTATTCCCACAGACATTGGAATATCTGTATGTTCAAACACAAGTTACAAAAAAAATGTATCCATTTTAAGTAATTAAAAGTCTTACAATTTGAGCCTGGTGTGGTAGCACACTCAAGTACATTCCCAGCTATTTGGGAGGCTGAGGTATGGGGGAAGGCTTGAGCCTAGAGGTTCAAGCACAGCCTGGGCAGCATAATGAAACCCCATCTCAAAACAAAATAAAACAAAAAATCAAAACAAACAGAAACAAAACAAACTTAAAACTTACTATATTATGTTCTATGGAAATAATTAATCCATGTTGAACTTCCCTTCAACGTTCTCCGTAGTCAACCTTGTCTTCAATATCAAATCCACCTAACAAAAATCACAGTTTCTCCTACCACGGCTTGTATTTCATTTCATTAAGAATATGATGGACGGTGCCAACTGAGGTTTAAGATAGCTTCAAAATCATACAGTTCCTGGTGGAGGTTACTGTAGCACCACAAAACTACTGCACTTTCAAGCATAAAACAATTCTTAAGACACAGATCTACTGACACAAAAGCTGCATCCACGCGATGAATTTTTACATGGTGCCAACATGTTAATGGACATAGCTACACAGCACCTTCATCTCCATGGTCTTTGACAGCCACCTGTACCTAAATCAAGAAGTCTGTCTCCTGGGCGGTTCCACTTCCAGCCTTCAAGCTGCTGATGCTCTGTATACTGTAGCCGTCTGTCATGGAACACCACCCTTATGATGCTCTGTGAAAAAGGGAGGAAAGTGAGCATTTCAACCACTCCAGCTAAAAGGCAGAGCATTTAAAAACAAAAACATATTAACCAGTAATAGATGAGCAATCAAAACCGGGTTCTGCTTTAAATGCTCCTCTGTGTAGTTGGGCATCATGACTCACACCTAAATGCCAGCACTTGGGAGGCTGAGGCAGGAGGACTGCTCATCCTGGGTCACATAAACAATTTCAAGCCAACAGAGGCTATATAGTGACATCTTAGTTTCAAAATAAGAGAAACTACCTTTCTACTGTGAACTTTTCTACTCTTGGATACCTGGTTTATAATACACTTACTTAGTTACCAGGAATTATAACTAAATATTTTGTACAAAATTTTTCCCCCTGAAACATGGTTTCTCTGTGTAACAGCCCTGGCAGTCCTGGAACTCCCTTTGTAGACCAGGCTGGCCATGAACTCATGGAGATTCAGCTGAGCACTGGGATGAAAGTTGTGTGCCACAACTGCCTAGTTAAAAAGTTTAATTTATAAAATAATTCAATACTAAATTCAAAAATCAATGTATATTACCATGAAATTAGTGAGTAGGAATTAGATTTCTATGAGAAAATACCAGCTGCCCAAAAGAATTATGAAAGATGAAAAATATCAGATAGATTGGTAACCTCTGACACAACAGTAAAATGTATTCATCTTAATACCAGCTGTAATGATTCATGCCTGCAATCCCAAAAGTTTAGAGGCTAAGGCAGGAGATTTTAAGATTAAGGCCAGCTGGGCTACAAATGCAACTGTCTCAAAAACAATAATTGCTAGAAATTTCTCTAAAAAGACAAGCTGGTGAGGTGACTTAGAGGACAAAGGGCTTGCCGGTCACCTAAATTCAATCCTGGGAACCCACATAAAAGTGGGAAGAGAGAGGGGCTGGAGAGATACATCAGCAATTAAGAGCATTGTCTGCTCTTCCAAAGGTCCTGAGTTCAATTCCCAGTAACCACATGGTGGCTCACAACCATCTGTAATGAGGTCTAGTACTCTCTTCTGGCTGGCAGTTGTACACGCAGACAGAATATTGTATATGTAATAAATATTTTTTAAAAAGTGGGAAGAGAGAATTGACTCCATAAAATTTTCTTCTAATTTACACACACACACACACACACACACACACACACACACACACCGAA